CCTAAATGGATAAAATTGTCATAATTGCAAACCCCTACTCAGAACAGTTACCACTCCTCAAAATTTTTCTCCCTCTCTCTATGTATTTTTTTTTCCTTTTTTTTTTTAATTTAAGAATAATAATAATAATAATAATAATAATAATAATAATAATAATGGGGATAAACTATTTAGTTTTGTCTGTTTTTCCATGGACAGTGTGCATCACACATGCTCGTGACCCAGAAAGCAGAATATTATAATCCTCCCTTTCTATCTTGGAAAATGTGTCCCCTCGTTTTATATTCAATATTTTTCTGCTTTATTTTCCTATAAATAATTATTTTATTAAGAAAATAATAGCCATTCGATTCAGATCGGATGGTTCTAACTCTAACAACTTGTTTGAAATTTTATTTTCAAAACCATTTAATTTCTTAAGAAATTTGGCTCGCATTACTTAATCAAGATCAACATTACTTTTGTTATTTTAAACTCATAATTTGGAAAGAGACAACATTTTCCATCTTTATCATTTTAATTCTATTTTAATTTTTAAACTTTCGAATATTTTGTTTTGCTTCTAAACTTTGCATGAGTTATTGTACCTAGTTGTTATTATTTTTGTCATATTATAATACTAAAAGAAGTTGAAATTTTATATTCAAATTTAAATTAAATAATCAATGAAAAATTAGCCACGGGAACTAAAATAATATTTTTGAAAATTTACACCCGAACTAATAACAACTTTGTCATGAGAATATATATTTTTAAATAATTTAAAATAGTTATTCATGTCATTTCTTTTTCCAGTTGGGATCCAAGTGAAACAGCTGGGAGACATTTTTTACTTTCCGAGTGGGCATTCTAAATACTAAAAATTGGACAATTGGGAATTTAAATGATTTTGAAAGCCCTGCATTTATTTTATAGAATTTTATGTTATTTACCTTTATTGACTTTATTTATTTATTAATGTAATTAAAATTCTTTGTTTTTCTCGAATGTGGTATAGTTATTCTCCTTATAAAGTTGCTTGCTTTTTGTCAAAAAATTTACAGAAGTATATACTAAATGCATATTCTAAAGTTGCATCTGATACCGCCATATATATTTTTAGTTATATAAAAATGGTTGAAAATACATCTACTAGCTATCTAACCTAGATGTATAAAAGGAATCTGAGCCGACCAAATAGTTCCAGACTATATTTTCCTAAATAATCGATTGAACTGACTTCTTTCTCTTTGATTCAACCTATTTTCCGACAGACTCCACGACATCACGTCGTGTTTCACGGTTACCTTAAAGAGCCGTTAAAACCTTGTTGGGAACACGGTCAGGAACTTTTTCTATAAATAAATAGGACTCATTTCCTCTGTTCAAAAGTATGCGAACCCTAAATTTTGTCTCGATTTAGTTCGGCCAACTACTGACTTAAGCATCAGAGTGTGCTCTGTTTTGTAGGTCACTCGTCTGGTCCACTTCTAACTCGACCTTTGAGTGATCTAAGGTATCGAGCCGAGGTTCGCGCACTTGGTTGATTTTGTGATTCAAACATAAACATATGTTCTTTTCTCTTTGCAACTGTGAATACAATTTAAAAAAAAAAAAAAAAAACCCCTTCTTTTACTCGTTTGACAAACCAAAAATTTTGATTAAAATAAAAAGAATCTTTGAAATGGCCAAACGAAAAAAGTTCGATCTTAACGCACTTTTTTTTTAGACAATGGGATGAAAGTTTCCACGAGAAACTCTACCTCCACAAAATTATCAAAAACTTTTATATGCAAATGGGTTGGGACAAGTACATTATATATACACTAATTTTGCTTGGGCATTATTGGAATTTTTCTAGTAAGGAGGTTTGACTCGTAGATAGATCATGATCAATATCAAATTTGTGACCACTTGGAATAACTAAATTATAAAATTTGCCAACTATAATTAAATGTCAATTTTTTTTCTTATGCATAGGATAAGATTTTATAAATTCATCCCTTCAACCATATATATAAGAGCCTTTTTTTTCAGTTGGTATTTGAACTATATGTTTTTTTTTTCCCTTAATAGGGTTAGTAGATGGGTGACTTGAGACAATTGAAAAATTAAGAAATATATATTTGGATTTTTTTAATGTCCCAAAAGTAAAATTGAAAAATAATTATAACTTAGAGTCAAAAGTTATAATTTAGCCTAAAAGAAGACACATAATTGCTTGAGAGTTTAACACATGATGGGGGATTTGGAGGGAAATTGAAAGGGTAGAAAGGGAAAAATCATAACTTAATGATGAGCTAATTTAATTTTGAGGGATAGAGGTTTTTATTTCACTAAAAAAAAAAGAGGGTCATTTATCCTTAAAAAGGCCCAACTTTTTCATCCATGCAAATAGAAAAGCCTGATTGTATATGCATGTCATTTTCTTCTCCTTCCTTTATATATATATAATTTTTTTTTAATGTTTCTTTTAATTATTGCTTCAAAAAGAAAGGTGTTTGATTTTCTTGTATATTATGGCCTACTTTAGAATAAAGTTTTTCTCTAAAGTGGGCCACAAAATTATCCTATTTTTTTAATTATGAACTATTCTATATTTTCTAAAAAATAAAATATTTATATAACCCCATTTATTATTTTCCTTCAAATTTCATGCATTTACTGATAAATTACCATTTACTGATAAGAATATAATAATAATAAATTAATAAATTCTTAATACCAACCAATCTTTTTAGTAATAATTCAAAGAAGGAATTACAAAAAATCATAATAAATATAGTACTAACAAAAATAACAAAATAACAAAAATGAAAATTTTTATTATAAAAAACAAACTCAAAATAGTGAATATAAAGTCAAACTCCCAAATTTTTTATTTTTAAACGAGATTGAATTTGTAAAAATATTGAACAAGTGGACATGAATTTAGGTGTAAGCAAGTGAATAATTAGATGCTTCATTATCCAATCCTCTTGATCTCCAATCTCGGATCCCAAGATAGGGTTTGGTTTGAATATTAAAGTTCAAACAATTTTAAGTTATAAAAATATTTGGTGGCTTAGCGAATCCATGTATTTCCATAAAATTAATTAAAAAAGGAAACCCTAAATTAGAAAACAGCTGTGAGAAAAGAAAGAAAAAAAAAAGGTGGAAAATGGCTTTTTATTTTATTTTATTTCTTTTCGTTTTGAGAAAAGAGAGAGGTTGATTAAATTAATTAAATTAATAGAAGTTTGCTGGGGTGCTAGGGTTACAGCATATCGTACAGATTCGGATTTTAATCCACCGATCTTTTGAATTTAATATTCCACCTGTCAATTATCATTTAATTCTTCTTTTGTATTTTTATATTTATCTTAGAAAATATGACCATTTTTCTTTTTCTATACTTAATATGTAGCTTTTTTTATATTTTATTTAAAAGATAAACTACTATTGGGAGGTTTTTAATTTTACAATATTTAATGTACCATAAGTACAGATATAGAAAAATAATTTTATCATATGAAAAAATAATCTTTTCTGTCATATCAATTCAACGAGGGTTTAAACCATTAATCTATAGGAGGTGTTATTGATGCATTGATTAACCGAACTATGTTCGAGATGGTATATAAGACGTTTTGATTCCATACAATTTATTTAGAAAGAATTACAAAAATAGCTCAAGGAGAATGTGTATTTTTATATATAGCATTAGGTTAAAGTTTTTACAAAAATGACAAAAATTACAAATTTATACAATTATATGAAACCAATCAAATACCACTTTTGAGGTATTAAAAAAATAAAAAGTAATGTTACTTTCATAAATATTTATTTATTTGATGTCATTTGATATAATTTTCCATTAATATTTTTTAAGTGATTTGTAATAAGAAACATAAGTTTTAAAAAAGAAATTGACCCATAATCCACGTAAAGCAAGTGTGATAAATAAATCATTAAAAAAAGATATATATACATAGAGAGAGAGAGAGAGGGTGGGACGGGGGATGGAGAAGAATCGTGTGGTGGAGAGAGAGGCATCAGAAACAAACACGCGTTGGGTGGGCGACACGTGGGCCAATGGCCCAGTTGGTGTTGTCGGAGGTATTGCCCTACAACGTCGTCTTCCAATGGCGGTGCTGTCGATTTTTTGTACTCGTTCCAATTTCATACCCCTATCTTAATTCTCCACCGTCTGATTCATCATCGCCACAGAAACTTGTCAAATCCGTGGGCCCCTGGTTTTCCACCAAAAGTGACTACTCTAGATTCGACCACACGGGATGACAACTTCATCCGCGCGTGCGTCTGGCTAGTACTCCCCTCCCCCCTCTCTTCCCTTTTCACGTTTCAACAAAGCTTCATCTTTTTCTTTTTCATCTTTTTTAAATACTATTTTGCTCTCAAATCTATTTCTATTTTAGTTCCTATAAAATATTTTGTTTTACTCGTCAAATGATGCGGCAAGTCTCTAAATTTAATGACTATTTTATTGAATACGTAAATGATGGAGATTTGAATTTACGATTTTTTAGACGGAGATAGATATTTTAACTATTTAAATTGGGTTTAGGTTGACTATTGCTTAATTTATGTTTGCCGAATATTCATTAATGTTCTCTAATTTATTTAGTTTGAATGCATACTCATG